CAGTTATTGGACCACTTCACTAATGGGAAACAATCACGTGCTGCTAGGAGTACGTGTTCGAGAAGGAGAGCATTGCATCGGATACCTTCTGGGAAGTGAGACTAAATCATGCCAGAAGTTTCCTGAATTAAAAAAAAAATGCAAAATTATTATTCATTTAATTTTCTTTAAGGCAACTACCTCTACCTAGAGCTAGCCTTAGCACAGATTTACCAAACAATCTTCTATGTCCAAACTATGGAGTCTGTCCTGCAGAATTAAACCCCTATAAAGAGGATGGTTCTTAGGGTAAACAAGTTTAACTTGTTTTGAAAGTTGGCATTCACCCCAAATTTAACTGACTCATGTTCTATATGGACATTTGTGCCAGAGTAGCGTTCAATAACTTAATCTGAAGGAAATAGTTAATAGGTGTTATAATGGGTCATGTTAGCCACACAGGCACATTTCTATTTGCTCAGCAGGCCAGCAGTGGCGGTAGTCCCCCCGTCCCCCAACGGGCTTAGTTTAAAGCTTGGAGACTTCTTATTCAAAGTAAAATAAAATAATTACCATGCCTGTAATTGCTATAAAATTAAAAATAAGTAATATATTATGGGTAATGATACTTTTATAAAATCTTTGCACTTTGAGATGGTGAATGCAGGGAATACTCGACCTTCCAAATAAACGGAGAGTGAGGCTTTCTTTGTGTTAAGACTGAAAGTTTTCGATGTGTTGTGGCACTCCTAATTGTCTTTTACTATTTGGGCTTGTGACCAGTTGCTTGAGAAATACTATTTCAAAAATCTTTCGTTTATACTTACAGGTGAATTTGTTATTCTCTCTTTAGCGGGTTTTATTTTTGGGTTTTTTGGCTATTTGTACACTGCAATGTATTTTGAATAGGGATCTTAATGCTATAATTATCACTTGGGACACTTTTTCCTCCTTGGGATCTGACCCAGTAAATATACTGTAATCAGCTAACAGAACAAGTATACAAGACTTTGCGTAAAATTGGGAAGAATGGAGACAGACTTAATTTTTAACATGGAGACATTTTGTGGGACTAAGTTTAAAAACTTGGTTCCATTGAAATCAATGGGAAAAAAAAATCCTTCTGACTTCAGTCAGGACAGGCTTGCATCTTGCATGTTCCAGCAGCTGTCTTTTAGTGAACATCCTTTCTCTCTCATCAGAATAGGGCATTACTTCCTTTGATCAGTGCTTTTCAACCTTTTTAGATTCAAGGAATTTCAGCCTTTCTAGATTCAGGGTCCCCATTGGAAAATGCCAGCTCTTGGCTTTCACTCTTTTTGACTATGAAAAAATAATAGAGTAGATTTTCTGTTACGGAGAACAACAAAAAGCATAATAGGCCAGAAGTGCGTTTGACGCTCTGGACTCCTATTTGAAATCTCTGGGTGCGTCCAGACAAGCGTGGCCGTGAGGTATGTAGTGCCGCAAACACGTCCATGGGGTCATATACCGCACAGTCAGTAGTTCAGTGTTTTTCCACGCTGCAAGAGAGTGCTGCCTATGCTCTCAATGCTCCACATTTTTTCCCCACAAGTTTTTTTGACCCCTGGACCCCCAGCCTCCCTTACCTCATCCAGTGTAACTAGCTGTATGCCAAAGTGCGCGTGGCATAGGCATTCCCCAGGGATATGTAGCAGTGGTACAAGGTGCACCTAGCACTATGGTTGAGAATCACTGCTATAATGGTGCCTGTGTTAAAGATGAGCTTTCCTGGAACTGCAAATTTTGATTTTTTTTCTTTTTTTGCCACAGGATGTACCGTCTACTACAAAAATATTTATCAATATTAGAGACAATAATGGGCGGATCTAGAATTTTGAAAAAGGGGGTACCGGTGGTGTATAAAAAACAGCACACTTTTTTTTTCTTGTTAAAAATTAACTGGAAGCTTTACTAATATTCTAGAGACTTAGGGGTTCATTATTCAATTTAAGATTGAAGCAAAAAGAAATATAACTTCATTGGAAAGAGTTAAAAACCATTTGTGGGGCTGTGAAATAGAAGCATCATTACCAGGAGTAGCTAGCAGACAGCAGGATTGCAGAACAAAGTATAGGTTGATTGGTGGAACATCAAGACCATTAAAAAAGGAGAGGGTCACTAACACCGGTAGAATGAAGAGATCAGGTAGATGATAAATCATGAAGTCAAGTGACTCCTTTGGCACCGTCTTCGCTAGAAATGCTGCTGCCTCTCGGGCAATTTGTTTTAAACTTTGGGTAGAGCAGGAATCAAAGTGGGGTGCAAGTACACCAGTGCATGTCCCCTGCATCTGCCCCTGGAAACAATTTTACAAGTATTGGACCACTTGAAATTCTTGTCTTGTAGTTGCCTGATGACTGATTTCCTAAGCTGTTGTTTTTCATAAAATTTACAAAGGAAACCTTGCTTTGTGCTTGTTTTGCTAATTTCATATTTATGTGGTGTTTCTTATTTTTCAAAAAAAATTTCAAAGAAAACCCCTCACTAAAGTTTTTTCTAACTTTCAGTCACACAAGCTGAATTCGCAATCTAAAAGTCAAACTGTTGTTTCCTTATCAGTGGCTCATGCGTCATCAGCACTTACAGAGGTTCTTATTGCCCGGTTTTGTCCTCACTTTCAGCTCTAAAACTCTGACTTTGGGACTGCACAGCTGAAATCAGAAGTTTATTAACAATTCTGTTGGTCATATTTGAGTCAGAATAGACTCTTATCTTACTGTCATCATTATGTTGGAATTTAGTGCTAAAATGATTTAAGATTCTGTGATAGAGATCAGTTAAAGCAAATGGATATGGCTAAATACAAAAAGTGGACGTGTACAAATGGTTGTGTTTCCGATCTTTGCTGTTCTAACCATGCTTCAACTTTAACTCTGTAAGAGGCAAGAATCTTGTGGATGACTTATTGGACCATGTGTATGGTTTGTATAGATGAAGATATCACCCAGAAGAATTCTTGCCCCTTGCATACTTCCTGGACATCATGGTTAGGGACAGAAGTTACACTGAAGTGATCAGAAACTGGTTTAAACCTTTAACAGAACAGAAGTTCAGTGCACATAAACCAGTGTGAAAATGGCTGAAACTAGTTTACGATAAACCTGGTTGAATGTAGCATCAGACTTAACCGATTTAGGTAAACCAGTTTATGAAACTTCTGTCCCTGACCCCTTCCTGTTTCAAGACAAATCCATAGTCCCCCAACATCCCAGGATGCTTTGCAGGTCTGGGCTGGGCTGTGCTGTCTGCTCGAGCAGAGCACGGTTGGCCCTGCCCCTCTGTTCTGTAGCTGGAGCACTGAGGGTTGTCTGACAAGGGGGTGATGGCGGGAAACCCAGTTGGGGACGCAGCCCAGTCTGCCTGGCAGGGGCATGGCAGACTTTTCCCTCCTGGAGAGGAGGGGGTAGGGCCATGGGACAGCAGGCTCAAGTGGAGGGGAGAGAGGTGGATTAAACCCCCTGCCTTCCCTCTCCCACTTGCACAGGACCCTCCTACTGGCCACTCAAGCGGTGGGGGGCATTGCCCACCGGCAGCATGGGCAACGCCTTGGGCTTGGGAGGGAGGGGGATTAAACTCCCCTGCCTCCCCTCTCACCGCCCTGGGACCCCAGCTGGGGTATGCCAGTTTTTCCCCTTCACTGGCTGCTTGAGCGGCAGGGGTTGTGGCCAGCTGGCGGCATGGGCAGCGCCTCGGGCTCAG